ATACAATGTCGTGTATTAATGTCATGTGTAGGTGTTGCTGTTGTAGAAAGAAATAAGAATTTGAGATATTACACAACATGAAATCAACTACTTAACGATACATTTTGTGAGCCTGGATGAGCGATTAATTTCCATCAAAAACCCTGACACTGATAATACCTCTCTGGCTTCGGATTATTTCCATAATCTTATGCTCGCCTTCACCTGGAACACTGGCATCTGACAAGATTACCTGTAAAAAGAAACGAAAAATGAAAATTAAATAACAATGTTCTTTGAAAATCCCAGTGGTTCGTATGTTCAGCATATTGATTAGAGTAGAATAAATAGATGACGTCATACATTGAACATACCTTGATACCAACCCATCTAGGTTGAGTTCGGATTCTGTCAGCAATGTACGCACGTAGGTGAACATGAAGTCTAGACATGAAATCTGTGCCCTATAAATGCATACAGCAAACGTATCACTTCGATACTGTTGATATTTGGGATACATGAACACAACTAATATTATAATAAAACTACAACAATTAAAAATAATAATAACTTCAGATTCATCAACAACCAGAATATGAATTAAATAGGAACGTTTAGCGTGTTAGAAAAATCAAGTAGAACAGCTTACTGGACAAAGAGAATTATAGTCAAATCCGAATTCATCTGCCGATCTTCTTTCTATTCCAGCTTCTGCTTCCCTGCATGATACAAACAAGCCATACATCAATTGTCACATGTATTTGATGAACATTGTCCCTTTGCTTAAGAACACCTTGAACTAGAACTTTCATATGTTATATTTATAGAATCTGTGCAATAGTACAGTACATATGATATACATGTATAAAGAAATCTTAGTTGGGAACTTAATATAATTCACTAAAATGGCCGTAACATTGGATATGTTAATGAAAGTAAGATAGTACATGCCTTCAAAAATAACAGTTGGATGTGTACAAACGACGGGTATGCAGGCTAGTTGACCACAAACAAATCTTGCCAATAATACAATGTACAATTTATTTTGAGTTGAATGATTATGATTAATCCATTTAACAGACTCGTAATAGTAAATACTAAAAAATACATAGCATTCTAGAAATGAAAAAATAGTTTAAGGTTACCAACCTATCCTTCTTGTAATTTAGGAATTTCTTTTGTCTCCTGTTATTATTTTTTGCAAATGGCGTGACTCCTTCCATTGCAATAAACAACATTTTCTTTGGACGAACTATTTCCATCAATGTATCTATAAATTTAGACATTCCTTCAAACTTTTCTTCTTCGCTAATGGGCAGAGGCCTTAAAAACACAAGTTAGAAAATATTAACACAAAATCTTGATCTTTAAATGAGTTTACTGTGTCTGTTTAGTATAATGTTATACGCAAAGCTCTGCCAAAGGTAAACTATTTTCAAGC